AAGAATATTCTACTTGAATTGTTCATATGTCTTAACTCTAATACTATTCTCCAAACACGTTTTGCAAGTTCTCACCTATAATTTTTTTCTTTTGCTTCTGAAATCATTGGTTCTTTTTTATGGACCTATCTTTTATGTAAGATATTTGACAATCAGATATTTACTTATCTCAGGCTCAATTTTTTTTAATTAAAAAAAATGATTAAAACTAAAGAGAATAGATTTCCTGTATTGTATAGGTACACTTCTAAGGAGATGTTATGCTTCCTTCCCTCCTGTTTCTCTCTGTTAATTCTCTCTTTTCCTTTTTCTTTTTAATTTCATTTTTGATGATGTTTGTGATGGCTGATGTGGCTGGGCTTATACCAGACCCCACAAGACACTCAGACCTCAGCCCAGGACCAGAAAAGGCCACAGAGCCAAACATGTCACTGGGCCAGCAAGACTCTAACTGACCAATGATAAATCTAGACTGACACTCCTTACATAATTAGGATCTAGACAGAGCCTCTGCCAGCCTCCAAGTTGGAAGGGGTAAAAGCCTCCTACAAGTTCTCCTGCCTGCCTTTTCTCCACACCCCTCTCTCCTTCTTCCCTCCTTAACGAGTGATTCTCAGTTAAAGTCTCTTTGCATCTTTGTTACAACTGGCAGGTTTTGGAAGGGTGCAGGGTTTGGGGAAAGTGGATGAGACCACGGTTTCCACATTTTTTGGTCTTCTTCCTGTGTCCTGGGGAAGGCAGGAAGATAAGTGGAGAAGACGCACCAGCCTCCCAACTGCCTTAGAATCGAGGATGGGAAATGGCCACACAATGTCATCATCCCAGGGTCCCAGTGTAGCGCATACTCTGAGCTTTCTGCTCAGGTTGTATCAGTCATTCTGAAATGCTGTCAATCTCACCACTCCAAGGAGAAGGAACTCCTTCCAAGGTTCACTGACTGACAAGGAGCACCTTAGTCTCCATTCGCCCAGATATTTGCTACCAATGCTTGATTGTTGTAGTTGATCGATTTGTTCTGCCCTCCACCCTCTGCTAGGGCATCACATGTCTTCTGTCGGCCCCAGTGGACTGTCATATAATCCATGTGAGTCTGGGTATGCCGTCTACTGCTCCGCCTTAGCCACTGAGGAGACCCAGTTCTGAAACATGAACTCTATGATCAGACCACAGATCCTGAAATTCTCGCCATAGTTGGAATTCTGAGACCAATGAATGGTTCAGTTGGAGGAGTCCCCCAGAAATACCTGATCTGAAATGATCTCAAACCTGACTGTTGCGTGTTCTTACCAGTACTGGTTCTGGCTCTGTCTGTCACCAACATCAACCTCCACAGACACATTGGTAGTTTCAATTGATTGATCAGTTCTGTCTCCAACCCCATCACCTACACAAACCAATCAGTGTGATAGCCCAGGCTGACCTTACCCCCAACACACTTGGCCCTGACATGCTACAGCTGAAACAGAGTGACCACCAAAAGCACCCACAAAGCCCGCCTCCAGCCCTGGTTCCTGTGATTGCCAGTATGTGCAACATCCTGGTCTAGTCTGTCCCACCTCCCATGCGTCAATGGGCGCTGAAGTCTATCTGAACCCAACCAACCCACTATGCAGCCCACACTGTGCCAGCAGGTGCCTCCACCTATCTAGCCAGGCCTGCCGCCAGCTCTGTTTCTCATGCTCACCAGTAAGAGTTGCAACCCATCAGAGAAGTAACCACAGTTTTATTTACCAGTCCCAGATCTTGTACTCTGCAGGCGATTCTGCAGTCTAGCTTGACAGGATTTACCCTTAGTTCCAGCACTTGCCAGCTGATGCTATGGCAAAGCCCAACCAGCACACACTCACTCTAGCTTATGCATGCATCAGTGGGTAAAGTCTGTCCAGCCTTCCTGCTCTCCAACCTAGCTCACATGCAAACCAGCAAGTGTTGCAGCTCTGCCAGGCCTATTCTGCCCCTGATCCCAGCTCTCATACTCACCAGTGGGAACAGTGGCCCAGCAGGGATCTCCCCCAAAGTCCCCGTATCAGAGTCACCCCAACCCATCCTGCCCTCCCCCAGTCTCACGTGTGCTGGTAGGTGTTACGACCCAATTTGGCATGGCGGGTCTCATCTCGGCATTTGCTGGAGGGTGCTGTAACTAGTCCAGCCCAGCATATTCCCAGTTCTAGCTCATGCTGGTAGGTACTACAGCCTAGCCCAGCCCAGGCAGTTTCCAGTCCTGGTGCTAATGTTAACTGGCTGATGTTGTGGCCTGACGCATTCTATCCTGCACCTCATCCTGGTTTTCAGACCTGCCAGTGGGTGCTATGGACAGGCCCAGCCTGGCCCACCCCCATACCTGACCCACATGTAAGCTGAGAGATATTGTAATATTGGGCTGCTCTCAGCCTTGGTTCCTACAATTACCTGCACGGGCTGTATCCTTACAGAGAAGTTCCTCAATCCCTTCTATCAGGTCTCCTCCCAGTGGCAGATCTTGTGCAATCTGGAGGGTCCTTGGCCCAACCTAACTTAGTCCACCTCCTGTCCTGGCAGGAACAGTAGCCTTGCCCAACTAACCCACATCATTCCAGTTCTTACTGTTGGGTGTTTCAGCCCAGGCACACGTCATCCACACACTGACACAGCTCTCATGTGGTTCAGAGGGGGCAGAGACCTAACCTAGCTTTTTGCACCCACACTCTGGTTCACACAAGCACCAGTGGGTGCTGGAATCTATCCTAGTCTGGCATCCCCTAGACCCAGTACACATCCATGCCAAGGGACACTGCAGTCATGTCCAGCCCAGATTGCTGCACCCATTCCAGCTCTTGGGCTTACCAGTAGAAACCATTACCCAGCTGAGGCATACTCCTAGCTCCCCAATCAGGCCTGTTCCCAGCCACAGACCTTGTGCATGCCAATGGTTGCTCTGACCCAATCAAACATAGCCCATCACCCGTCTTGGCTGCTGCCATCAGATGTTGCAGCTTGGCCTGGACTGGCCTGTGCCCAGTCCCAAATCTCGCTGTTGAGTGCTGCTTCTTGGCCCTGTTTAGTCTTTTCTCATTCTTGGGTCATGCAAACCAGTAGGTGTGATAGCCTAGCCTGGAATGAGCCGCACTCCAGCCTGTCTCCAGCACATGCCTGTGGGGTAAGTTTGGCCCTGCCCATCTTCCCCACATCCAGAACCAACCTACACACTTGCTAATGAGTAAAGCTAACTTTCCAGGCCTAACCATCACCCAGGTCTGATCCCAAAGCTCACCAGCAGGAACTTCAGCCTACCAGGGGAGTTTCCCATGTTTACCCACCAGGCCCTTGCCCAGACCCAGATCTCACATGTGGCACCGGGTACCATGCCCTTACCCAGAATAGCCTGTCCTCTCCATTCTGGCCTATGTATGTGCTGGTGAATATTGTGGTGTAGCTTGCTGCATACCTCCTTATTGGGTATGGCTGCAAGTGCTGCAACCTGGACCTTCTCAGCCTTTTCTCAACCCCAGTATCCATGAGTGTCAGAGGGTTCCATGGCCATGCCTAGCTCAGCCCGTCATTGCCCTCAACTGTTAATCTAACCTGCAGAAATAGCAGCTCCACAGAGGTAGGCCCACATATCTGCCCCAGGACGTGTTCTCTCATGTGCTGGTTAGTGTCTTGGCTCAGGCCAACATTACCCATCCTATTCCAACTTTCTCTGGCAAGTTCTGTGATCCATCCCTGCCAGGCAGGACCCCAGCCCTAGCTTTAGTGTGCACCAGTGCATGATGGCCTGCTGTGAATCATGCTAACCAGCCCTTCTGAGATCTCTCACCTGGGCTGGTGCATCTGTCTGACCCATTAAAGTGCTGCAGCTTCCACCCCCTGATTCACTCGGTCTCAGCCCCCTTGCTTACCTAAAAATACAGTGGTGTTTTTAGATGGGGACCTCACCTGCAACTTAACCCTTCAGCAGTCTTCTCTCCCACTCCCTCTCCTTATCCCATCCCTGATTATGTGGGGAGATTTCCAGGCTTGCTCCACCTACCTGGATGTGAAGCCCCTAGCTATCCCTGGTACCCCACAGGCTCTATCCTCATAGTCCCCCATGAGACTGAATGGCCAGGCAACCATGGGCAGAGCCAGGCCCCTTGCATCCTGTCTGGGGCTGTCTGCTCTCTTTCCTTCATTTATTTTATTCTTTATTTTTTACAACAAATTTAATTTCAAATGTCTCTGTAATCAGTCTTAGTGCACTACTAACAATAATATTCAGCAAGTAAAAAATAGAAAGATCACAATTGCACAAGAGTTTGATATAAAAGACAGTATTTCACCCTTTTCCTGGCTGAGTAATATGCATTCATGTGTATCTGCCATATTTTCTTTGTGCAGCCATCAGTTGATGGCTATCCAGGTTAATTCCACATTTAGCTGTTATGAATTGAGCTGCAATAAAGATGAAAACACAAGTAACTCCTTCATATGCTGGTTTCATTTCCTTAGATAAATTTCCAGAAGTGGAAAGGCTGGTTATATAGCAGATCCATTTTCATTTTTCTGTGAATCTCCACACTCTCCTGTGATGATGTACTACTTTATATTCTCACCGATGGTGCTTTAAGGTACCTTTTCACCCATATTTTCTGTAGCATTTATTGTTTTTGTAATGATAGTCATTCTAAGTGGGGTGAGATAAAACCTCATTATGGTTTTTATTTACATTTTCCTTGTGGCTGGGGCCCAACGCCATATCCTAGTGGCTTAAATCCTCACCTTGCATGTGCCAGGATTCCATATGGATGCTGGTTCTAATCCCAGCAGCCCTGCTCCCATCCAGTCCCCTGCTTGTGTACTGGAATGGTAGTCGAGGACAGCCCAAATGATGGGATAACATGAAACACTGCCTCTCAAATCTGGTTATGTACAGTAGTCACTGGTCTTTGTGTTTTATTTTCTGGTAGAAAAAGTTTTTGTTTCTTTTTTTAAGTTTGGGTAACCACATATTTTCCTTTCTGATGCACAGTTAACTAGAAGCCTAGCACACAGCTTCTCGCCCCATCTTGAAACCTCAGTGGCTTGATTGTTTCACAGTAGCTGAGGGTCTTCCTGTCCTGGTCTGAGTGAACGACAACTGAATAGCCACCAGCGTGCAGGGGAGGATGCTCTGAGTCATTTCATCAGCAAGAATGGCCCACCCAGGTTCCCACCTCCTTGGTGATTGGCCTTAAAGCCTCTTATGCCACTGGATGCCCTTAGAGTAACAAGTAGAAATTTCTAGTTGGAGATTTCCTGTTCTTCTAGCTATTCCATCTATCTTTATCTTTACCACCTTAGCAATTCTCATGGTGCCAGATAAATATTTATTTGTGCGAAAAGTCTAAGTCAATGGGCTTTAAAAAAAATACCAAGAAAGAGAAGGAAATCTAGACAGCTATTCCAAATCAGGACATCTTTGATATCTTGATTAAATGCATTGCATTTTGTAACAGAGAGAAAAATACCACTATCAAGTTAGTGGAAAACATTTGAAAATGGTTATAGATTAGATCATAATACTGTACCAATGTTAAATTACTTGATTTTGGTTCTCATGACATAGTTATAAAAGAAATGATTATTTTCTTTGGAAATGTTTAGACATGAGGATATAGTGTCTTCAGTTTATTTTCAGATGACTAGGCAATGAGACAGAAGCAAAGGGGAAGAATTCGATGAATTCAGCACAGTACAAGTAATAATTGTGGGTCAAAGTTATGTGGCAGTTCCTTGTATTTCTTCTTCTTCAAATATTTGACCTGTTTAGATGTAAACATTATAGGAACATAATCCTTAAAGTTGATGCACGCTCCTGGGTAGTACAAACAGAGCTCTGTCAAGTTCTTCACTGTGCTCTCAGATCACATGTAACTGGCATGGTGTATCCAATTTCTGAGGGAAAGATGCAGACTAATCTATAAAATTCCCTAATGGGTCCTGGCATGATTCAAAGGAATGGAAAGAATAAATCCTCAGAACCATGATGGAAGTGGCAGCTCATCCCCAAACATAAGGGACTTTCACTTGTGCACGGGGAGAGGATGGCATTTGGTATCCTAGGTCATCGCTCAGAAGAACACTTTCTTCCTCTTCCAGCTCATCTCTGTCTCCACCACAGGCCAAGCCCTGCAATCAAAAACACTTGTTAGTCGCCATCCCACCCTGTTACAGGAAACAACAATGGGACAGCATTTCCAAGGGTACCTTTGCTTCTAAGTGCACACTGAAGCACAGAAAACACAATCAATTTTCTTCTTACAAATGCAACCATAGGTTCTAGAGCAATCCATCTGTGTTACTCCTGTTGAGGTTAATAGTGCACATTCTCTGCTTCTAGAAGGCAACTTCATCCTTGCCAAATTCCTGGAGAACAGAGAACATAAGAGCCAGCTATTTCAATCTGTCTTATTTTTCAGCAACATAATTCATGAGTTTTAAATTTTATTTTCTAATGTCCTGATATATGGAAATGTTTCTCATAACTCCATCGTTGAATGGTGTTTATTAACACCATTAAATGGCATTTGTGATAAACCAAATTACTTTTTTATTTCTTTTCAGTAACAATGAGATATTTAAAGAGGACTCAACATTTGTAACTTAGATAACTACGTCTTGTGTACATATTGGGAAAATGTCAAAGATGGGATTATATGGCTGATGTTTTTGTTTGTTTCATTTATTTGTCTTCCCTCCCCATAACTAATAGTTGAACTAAATTAGGGCAAACACACTGAAGACTACCAAGGCACGAATTCATTTTTAAAAAAGCAAGTAGAATAAATATCAGAACCACTTTGTTGTTGAACATAATTAAAATACTAGGTAAATAAGATGCTGAGCCTTCGTGAATATATGCTCAACTGGCTAGAAGCAAGCTCACATCAGGTGGAAGGTTTAGTACTCATGTGAGGGGCAACACAAGGATAATTAAAGCACTAAAGACAGATTTTTCCACTAAGGAATGGGCTGGATTGAGTGATGAATTCTGTCCTAAATAGAGGTTGTAAATGCAAGATAAATCACGTAGGGCTGATGCTCAAAAATGAAAAAGCCTCAATATAAACCACTCTAGAACTACCTGACTCTTTAATTCAATCCAAAGAGAAAAAGCATAATCTCATTTAAATTCAAAAGCAAACAAAATCAAGTACATAGCTTGCATTTCCTATATTGCTGAAGAGTAGTCAAATCTGCTACAGAAAAAAAAAAAAAAAGAAGACAAGCAGGAAGCAATTTAAACAAACTATCTTCAAAAACAGGCAGAATGTGTAAGATGTGTTAGGAATGTTTAGGCAAATTAGTATCTATGAGAGGTGGGGACATTTCCACAGCAAGCAGATCATGTATGTGGTGAGCTTCAAACCCCCATCCTTCCCAAGAAAGAATAAAGGCCCAACAGAGTAAAAATGCAAACAAACTTTCACAAAGCATGTACATATTCAATGTCTAGGGCTTAGAATTCATCCATTGGTGCTGCCCATTCTAACCTTTGCTCACACTAGGCTCATCAGCTTGATCTCATAGCTGCACCTGTAACCAGGCTAAAATACACCTATGTGCCCCTGATAATGTGTGTGTTGGCCACAAGAACCTTCTTCTCTTGGGCTTTCTTACTCAGACCTTCTCCCAGCCCTGAAAATCACACTTGTACAGTCAGGGTTATGCAACAGAGGGAGTCACCCAAGATACAGGTGATCTTTCACCCTCATGTTCTTTATCCTAACTGGCAACCTATCATTATGCAGTAGGCTATGGGTCCTAAGATGACATAAATGATTGTGGAATGAGCACCTTAATTTGGACTGTGAGATTTTCTGTGCTGTGTTCTCTAGCACAGTCAGTATGCCTGGGAGTACATTGGAAGATAAAATAACAGTAACGAAATTTTGAAGATTAGAATTCTCAGAAGATAACTATTAATGAATTTTTACAACCTTGTAAGAAATGAAAGATGGCTTGAAAACAGTAGCAACTAACAAAGATATCTGAAAATGTAAAAACACTAATACAGTGTTTACACACACATTGCTTTTTTACTGTCAATGAACTTTTTGAAGCGCATGTATGTGTGTATGATTACGTTTATGTGCACATTGCCTATACCAATACCCACTAATAATATACAAATATAATGATGCTACCATATATATAAATATACTAACAAGACAAATCACATGGATGAGTTTCAAATCAATTTGGGGATAGTTGGGCTCCTCATTTGTGGATGATGGAGGACTAATTATGCACATTTTAGGATGTTATGATCACTGAGGATGATTGTTTTATTTATGTATCTTATAAAACATGTTACATGTACTTAGAACACTTTTAATAATAAGAATTCTGCATGGTGTCCCTCTTTTAATTTATAAAATATTTACTCTGGTTCTTATTCTACTAATAATCTCTACTTATAATAATTTAAATTGTGTAAAATGAGAAATGACTCTTTTCAAATACAATCTGGACAATTCAACAAATTCCGGAAACTTACATTCCAGGTGATGTGCCAGTATCAACCCATTTCCATTTACTTTCTTTTTCATCATATGACAGTCCAATCCAGTGTCTATTTTGACCAATCTGAACCTGAATGAATTCCTTTCAAGGAAACAAAATATATCACAGAAATGAGTTTCCATGTAGAACATCAAAGTGGTATGTTTTATAAGTGACTTCATTTATTTTTCAACATTATTTACTTTACTTCGAAGTCAGACTTGCAGATATATAGAGAGATCTTACATCCATTGAGGCACTTCCCAAACGGTGCAAGTGCCAGAGTTGAGCCCAAATGAAGCCAGGAGCTGGGAGTATTTTCTGTCTTCCGTGTGGTAAGAGTCCCAAGAACCATTCTCCGTTGCTTTCTCAGATCATAATCAGGGAGTTAAATCTGAAGTGAAGTAGCCGGGACACAAACCAGTGCTTTTGTGGAATGCTGGCATCTCAGGCAGAGGATTAGCCTGCTATGCCCTCATGTCACACCACCAGTGAGTACCATTTCAACGTAGGTTTAAATTTATGGTTTAGGGTCTGGTGGTGTGGCCTAGCAGCCAAAGTCCTAGCCTTGAATGCACTGGGATCCATATGGGCACTGGTTCTAATCTTGGCAGCTTTGCTTTGCATCCAGCTCCCTGCTTGCGACTGGGAAAGCAGTCAGGACAAACAAAGCCTTGGGACCTGCACCCATGTATCTCTGACATTGCAATAAAAATAAATAATTTTTTAAAAGAAATGCTTCAAACACAAAACTTTTACATGGCATTATATTATGAGCTCTTGTATTATTGATTTTAAACATTTGTTGTATTTGCACATAATTTTCAACATTTTCTTAAGTAGTAAACAAAGGTTTCAGGCTAACTTTGCAAACATTTCACTATAAAGGCACATTGTGCATTGAGATAATTTTTTATACTAATAAATCAAGAAGACAATATCATTTTGTTGCCACTACTTTTTTTCATGATTCTTTTATAAGATATGCACTTTGGTAGTGTAATGTTATTTATTGATCAGCTAAATGTGACATAAAGATTCACTAAAATCAATGCAAGGCTAATCTGCATAAATGAAAGCACTTTCATGGTGCTCATTATCATCTCCATTTGGTAGATGTACTCAGAGAGATTAACTAATACACTGAAGGTCACCCAGCAGCAACTGGCAAAGCTTCCCGGGATTTGATCCCAGGAAGTCTGAGTGCTGGGTTCCTGTTAGTAACAGTTACACTATGCTGCATCCCTGTTACTTACCACCCTACAGGGATAACTAACTGTGGCTCCAGGGTAGAGTATAGCAAAGGTTAAACTAAGTGCTTCATCAAAGCAAAGACATTCTTTGTTGTAAGAGGCACTACTGCACGCTCCTGAAAAAGGGAGGGACATTACTTACTCCTCATTATTATTAATAAAATGATCTTTATAACAATTAGGTGCATTGGACACTTAATGTGTAGCAGGATCATATGCTTATTAGCAGACAGAGTGTGCTGGGAGATGCCTAACCATGAGATCTTTGCCCAGACAACAGTCATGCAGAAAGAATGCTTAAGATCCCTCTTTCTGGAACAACCCACTCTTTTCTCAGTATCACAGGTTGTAAAGTGAGACAGCTGATGACATTGAGAATAAAAGCAAGAGTCCATGATACCTTTTCCTGCTCATTGTCTATCTTCAAAAGGGAGGAGCTGTAATCCTGGCAAGTTCGTTTACATTCCTGCCAGTTTTTCTTTTCCTGAACAAAATAGTAGCAGTTGACATGGAAACAGGACCAGTGGTCCTCACAGTGTAGTCCTCCTGCAACATATAAGATCAGATCCATGGAAGCAGAGAACAAAACAGTAGTTCCCCAGGGCTGGTGGAAGGAGAATTTATTGGTCTTGTGGGCATCAAGTTCCTGTCAGGCAAGATGAACACACCCTGTGCTCCACTGTGCAGCTCAGTGCCCACAGTTAAAGATGCTGTATGCATACTTCATATAGGTGTGTGCACTTTCAATTGTAATATTTCACATTGAGTGTTCTTACCATAAGTAAGCAAGCAAACAAACATAAGGAAATTTTGGGAGGATGTATGTGTCCATTGCATTGAGTCATAGCTTTTGAAATCCTTGCAGCATTTTTAATAACGTGTGCAACACTCTAATTATCTAAATTCTAGGGGTGCTGGCATCTTGTTTCACCCTATGGAATCTTAGAGAGGTAAAAAACTGCCATTGAGTTTGGGGAACAGTACAACTGTATTTACGCAAACATTTTTCCAGGGATTCCACATCCTAAAAAAACAAATTACAAGTTGTCCAGTAGACTCATACATCACTATATAGAAGCTTATTTATTAGACCTCACGTCCTTTAGTGAGAGGACAAATGAGGGAAACACTACTATACGTCATTCCAGTTTTCTTCCATACCTGGATTTTGTAGGGATTTTGAAGGAACAGATCCTTTTGCACAGCATCCTTCCTTTTTTAAAGATGATGCCAGCTTATTTTTCTGCAGAAATCTTTCATTTCTGAGAGTGTTGTATTCTAAGGTTTTATTGGCCAAAAGTTGCTCCTTGATGTTGCACTTTTGACTGAGATTTCCTAGAATTTCCTGATGTTCATGCTTTTCTTGAATATGGTGAAAATCTAAAACAAGCAGCATAGAAATCACTTTTAAAAATAATAAAAATAAATCTTTAAAAAAAAATACTCCTAAGGATCTTAGAGCAAAATTAAAGACAAGAGAAAAAGCAGTATTTTGGCAACCAACTCTTACCATTTCAGCTTTTATGACATTTGAAAAGTAACCCCTCAGGGAACTGGCCACAGAAATGGAAACATCAAGTTTCTCACTACCAGCCACTTAAGGGTAGATAAATAAAATACCTGAATAAAACTAGCAGTGTTAATATTATACTTTATAGTTTTTAGGTAATTTTTAATAGCACATCATGTTCAAATAAATACCACCTGAAAATTCAGTTAGTTCATATTTAAGAATACATCTTTGAAAGCAGAACCTAAGCTGGGGCCAGTGTGGTAGGCTAGTAGCTAAATCATCGCCTTGGATGTGCTGGGATCCTATAAGGGCTATGACTGGTGTTCCAGCTACTCTGCTTTCTGTCCCTCTTCCCTGCTTGTGGCTTGGAAAACCCGTAGTGGATAGCCTAAAACCTTGAGTCCTGGCATTCATGTGGGAGATCCAGTTGAGGTCCCTGGCTCCTAGCATCACCTGGGGAGTGAACCAGCAGACAGAAACTGTTTCACTGTCTCTCCTTCTCTCTGTATATGTTGCCTTTCTAATAAAAACAAACAAAAAAACTAGGATACTAGGAAAATATTTGCCCTCATTGTCAGAATGTCCTTGATCTAACTTAAAGTACCCAGATTCTGTAGCATGCCCCAGCACTGGACCCTGACTCCAGCATCCTGGGAGGTAGCCTTTAGGCCAAGAATCTGAGTTTCTGCCAGCTAGCTGGGGACCTGGAGCGGGTTCCTTTTGGCTCCCAGCTGAAGCTGCAGGCTCTTGGGGAGTCCAAAGGTGAACGCCAGATGGGTTCTCTATCACTCAAATTAGAAACAAAGTTTAAATATATATATATTTGCCATATATATATGGCACAATTATCATTGAAGTAAATAAAATATCCAATAAAATGTGATTTTACCCAATTGTAGTATATCCATTGTTTTCTTTAAAGATGTAAAGAAATGCAAGTACAAGATAAAACTTAAATTCATGATTATTTTTGTGTGTATGTTTTAGTTATTCTTACTAAGCTATTACTTTATCATATAATAAAAATTAAATACACAAAAGCAAGGCCAAGGACTGTTTCTCTCAGACTTCAATGATGTAAATTCAGATAACAGAATATTACAAAATTCTCTATCAAAAGGAGTATTATCATGCATTATGCAAAATGAGACAGCATAACCCAGCTTCAGTCAGATTAGATAAGCAAAAATCAAAATCACCTTGTTATATGACCTTAAAAAATCATCAACAGGGCCCGGCGCGGTGGCGCAAGTGGTTAAGGTCCTCGCCTTGCACGCCCGGGATCCCATATGGGCGCCGGTTCTAATCCCAGCAGCCCCGCTTCCCTTCCAGCTCCCTGCCTGTGGCCCGGGAAAGCAGTCGAGGATGGCCCAAAGCTTTGGGACCCTGCACCCGCGTGGGAGACCCGGAAGAGGCTCCTGGCTTCGGATCGGCATAGTATCGACCCGTTGCGGCTCACTTGGGGAGTGAATCATCGGACGGAAGATCTTCCTCTCAGTCTCTCCTCTCTGTATATCCACCTTTCCAATAAAAAATAATAAAAATAAATCTTTAAAAAAAATCATCAACAAAAATGAGAGCCATCTGGTAACTTGATGTTTCAAGAGCTAACACTGTTGAAATCTACACAATGAGTGGTTCCTGAAACTCCCAAGACAACAAAAAAGAATCTGCTACGTTACTTACTCTTTATCACCAAACCTACAACTGTAATCAAGAGAAGAAAACAGAGGATTCCAAGAGTCACCGCAATGAGATGCCAGGGCACTGAAAACTCTTTAAAGAAAAAAAAAAAAAAAGAATTTAATGAATTAATGAAACAGCCTCAACAAGGGACACAGTTTGAAGCAAAAGGATGATTTTCTTTCAACATTTTACAAGCACATAACATACAAAACGGTTTAAATATTTAACTTAGAAATCACAGTTTTAAAGTTTAAGGATTCTGAATGATACACACTCATGGTACAAGAACAGGTCTCCAGGGCTTCTAAAGCTCAGCCCTCAGACAGCACCAACGCCAGTGGGGGTGAACATAAAAGCACGTTCTAAGAGACACGGGCACTGCTTACCCTGGTCATATCTAGTCACAAAGCAGCACAAACAGGCAAGATTCTAGAGAGAGTGGACACCAATAATGAATATTCTGAGATGTGAAAGTGATGGACCCCATCCTCACAAGAGTTTCTAAAATTCAGTTTTTCTTTCTTTCTTTCTTTTTTTAATCATCTTTTTTCTCCAAAGAACACTATATTATACTTTTGCCTTTGAGGTTCCTATGATCCGAAAAGAAAAAATATCTCACTGATGATCGTCAAACTAAAATAGTAATTCTTGTGATAATATTTTAAGTAGGGAGAGAAGAGAAAATTAGAATGTCCACTTGATATTAACATTTTTGCATCTTCATGGGTCCTGAGGGCAGACATATATTCTTTCTTAATCACTTAGAATGTCTATTCTCTGAATAATAACATTGTCTTCAACACATCTTTTCACTTCTTAAAGATTCTCTACGATGTTTATGTCAATAAGAATTGCTGTGTTTTTTAAGACACAATTCTGTGCTTTAATTTTAATGGGGTCACAATATAATTTGACCAAATCTCAATAAAGGCTAGAGTTCCACACATGCCAAATAATTCCTTAATTTTTTCCATTCTCTCAACTTTTTTTTTTTAAAAAAAAAGTTTTCAGTTCAACTACTCTGTTGGGTAAACTTTGTTATAACCACTTCACAACCAGAAGTGCATATAAGAGCTTTTTTAAAACCTCAAGTTTGAAAATTCATAAAAGGCAGGAGAATTTAGATTCTTAAAATGTACATCTTTGGGGTTCGGCATGATGGCAGGTTAAGCCGCTTCTTACAATAACCATATCCCACATTGCAGAACGCATTCGAGTCTTGGCTGCTCTACTTCTTACCCACCTCACTGCTAATGCATCTGAGAAGGCAGCAGAAGACCGAAGAACTTGGTATCTCCTACCCCTGTGGAGGACCCAGATGGAGTCCTAACCTCCAGGCTTCATCCAGGTCCAGGTCTGGCAGGTGTGGCCATTTGGAAAATGGGTCAAAGAAGGGAAGGTTTCTTCTCTATCCTTCTCACTCTCTTTCTGTCACTCTGCCTTTCAAATGAATGAATAAGTCTTCACAAAAATACATACCTATACCTTCTTCACCAGTTCCAGACTTTAGAGTGCCATCAGGCTTGGATCGTCTCTGAGAGTCTGAAGAAGCCTGATGAAATCTCAGAGCTGAGTAAGTCACCTCCTGATCGCTCATCTTTAGAAGAAGATAAATATGATTTGCTTCAAAGCTTCCCAACACAATGATTCCTAAGAAAAACCATAGAGGCAGCTTACTGAAACATGCCAGGATTTGATGCTGAGAATATATTCTTTGTGTATCTGTCACAGTCTGTATACATGAGCTTATCTGCTCTAGAGAATGACTGAAGCAGACAGAGTAGATTTATAACAGGAATGGGAAACCTGCCGACATTGCCTTTTAGATCATGTATTCTCCTAACAATCACTGTCGTGACTACTAGAAAATATGGAAAGTGAAAAAGTGGCCATTAAGTTATTATTCTATTTACTCAGCTAATTTTACTCAAAATGTTCAATTTTACTTATTCTTTTTCAATAAGTAATACAATATATAGGCATATATGTATATAAATATAGATACATATTAGAAACCATTGGTACTGTCTCAAATATCAGAAACATGTTTAAATGGTCAATTCAAACAACAAAAACTCTACATTCTGAAAAACTATATATGTCTTGATTTAAAGATCACATAGCTTGATAGGCATACAGCTTTTTGTAAACCTCTTACAGTCTTTTCAATGCCACATGCCTCACAGTGCTTCCCAAGGCATGTCTCATATCTCATCTGTAAATGAATATGAAGGGGAATATCACATATAGATAAACATTTCAGAGTGTAATATCCAGTGTTAGATAAGTTGAATAAAAACCTCTTAGGTTCCGGCATCAGCCATTGCCATGGAAGCCTTTGTGAAAATAACATCTATCAATAGGCACTCATTAATGAATGTCCATTAACACTCATTCTAGCAATGATTATCAATGCAGAAAAAAATCATTCAATAACAAAATTAACAATTTATTTTATTTTGCATTAATGAGAAAAGATTATATTCCACAAATAGGATATATTAAATGTTGGTTGTACATGTAAAGGTATCCTTTTATATGCTAGTTTGAAATTTTTCTGTTTCATTTGTCACATTTTCTCTAGTTTGCCACTGAATTTGAAGCTTTTATACTACAGAATATTTCGTTATGGATAAACAACAGGCAAATGCTTTAGAACCAAGTAAAAAGCAACTTCTCAAATCTCATTTCTTCATGTGAATAACACAAAGCAAAACTCACAGCCTATGGAGAAGGAGACAACAATTTGCCTTGAAAACTGAATTATGATCTTTACTTCCTTCAGAGTTCATGCGATTGGAATGCAATGCAGAGGGAATTTTGTCAACTCAATCTCCTTCTCATGTCATAGTTCTTGGAATTAAGTACTGTATTCCCACAATAAGAAGAACAAATAAGATAATCACACTGAAATCTCCAAGGGAGTCAAAGTGGGTGTTACCTGGATCTACGCCATGCAGTGAGGTAGGTGGAAGCACTGGACCGCAGTCCCAAAGGTCTTGATGGCTCTTAGATGAGAAATAAGTTAATTGCATCTGAATGATGATACTCCAACATAAGATGTTCTATCCATCCTGTTGAAAACAAATGATGAGAGGAAACCATATGATGAAAGCTGTTGTTTACAGGAAAGGGAAGATGGTCATGAGCTGTATCTTGCTCTATTTCAGCTAACCAATCATTTAGTGCTGCTTGCAAAACAGTATCGAAAATCAGAATGGGCATACTGAAAAGACAGAGCAACTTACGGCTGCGGAAAAAGGACGAATATTTTTTAGCACAAGAGTAACATATAAAATAACTAGTCACTGTTTAAGTGAGAGAAATGTCTAGGTGTACATGTACATATGAAAGAATAAACATGACTGAGTTCTTCGGCTCTTAGTCTAGGTAATTTTCTCTCTGTTAGAAATGTTCTGCTCCATCTACAGCTTTTTTTAAAAGAAAAGTGTATTCTTTTGATTAATATTAATTGCATGCAAAGAATTTTATTTAAAAAACTCATAATTCCACAATAAAATTTATTTCTAGTTTTCTAGTTTTTTGATTATAAAGTTACTTAATAATAAGTTGTTCTCACTACACAGGGCTTCAAATTTCTTCTTCAATAAGTAACAAACATTTCTTCAGATTAAAATAGTCATCTAAAACTCGATTGTATATTTATATGTATTTGAAAGGCAGAGCAACCAAAAGATCAACAGAGACACAAAGTTAGAGTTCTTTTTTTCTGCTGGGTGACTCTCCAAATACAAACAATAGACTGGGTTGGGCTGGAAAAAAAGCAGAGGTGATTCAATACTTTACACGGAAATGCTCACCCCTAAGACATGATCTTAAAAACCATAAATAGTCATTACTCACTTGGGTACACCCACACATTATCTATGCAACTAACAACTACAGATATTAAAGTTTTTCAAAAAATTCTTATTAGTGTAACAAATAATTTGCTTTTAGTTTTAAAAATTTTCTTAGAAACTATTGTGAATATAATGGTGTAAAGTTATATATCCATTCAAAAAACTGTGATATACCTCACTGAACTCCCTCCAGAAAAGTTGTTCCCATTTTTATTGCACAAGTTGTGTATGAAAATACTTACATTTCTTAAGTTGTATTTTATTGAAAGGCAGAGCAATGTGAGAAAGAGGTAACTACAGCAGCCAGAGCTGAGTCAGACATCAGGGACTCCTTCCAGGCCTTCCAGGACTGGGGAAACCATCCCTAAGCATCCCAGGCATAACAGCAGGAAGCTGGAGGGAAAGAGGAGCTTCCACAGTGCCACCTAAGCTGTAACACAGTTCCACCTCCTTATATTTGATTTTTGAAATGAAATTCATTTTGAAACATAATTCTTTTAAAATATTCCTCTATTGGAGTTGGATCCATAAAACATGGTTCAAAAATATGCATTAACAACCCTCCAGGCTTCACATTTTCACATACTTTAAAAAGATTTTTTTTTTTTTGCAAAGCTCTGATGCCAGAAGTCAGACCTTCACAAGAACATATTCAAATGTCGCATCAAAATTCACTTTTCTTCCACTGAGGCCTTCTCCATCACTGACTCCAGCCCTACAAAACCCCTAAAGGAGCTGTGGTTAAAACACTCATTGGGATACACATGTCAGAGGTCCTGGGTTCTCATCTCAGCTCTCCTCCTAATTCCAGCTGCCTGCTAAGGGGCACTCAGGACAGCAGTGGTGTTCCAATAGCCAATGCCTTACTATCCAATGGAACACTCAGATAGAGTCTGGGCTCCTGGCTTCAGCCTTGACGCAGCCCCAGACACTGTAGACCTTCGGGGAAATGAACTGATAGAAACTCTTCTCCTCTGTCCCCAACTAGTCAGTTAATTTCTAGTCCTGCAAAGTCAGTTGACTGTGGATATGAGAGCGTGTGACTTGGAGCAAGTTTGGGAACAGCATGGATATGTACTAGGCAGAAACATCCCCACTCGTGCTTCACCAGGCTCTGACAAGCTCCTTCCTTATTCCTTTCTTCAATAACAAGTCTGCAGCCACAAAAAAAAAAAAAACCCATCCCTCTTACAAGACTTCCCTATCCATCAGCCTCCCTCCTTCTTCCAGAATACTGCACAACTGCAGTTTCCTTACATGGTATTCTGAATGTTGCAAAACAGTGTATGTTACACGGCCTGTGGATTAGCCCCTGGCAGATCTTCTTCTGTACCTGGACACTAGCCTTAATCTCTTTATTATTACTGCAGTCTGGCACTTGTCATCATGTGCAGGAAGGCAGCTGAAATAGCCCCAGAGACCAATCTTGCTCAGGCAATCACATGAGCAAAATCTCTTGGGTGGAATCTGGGTGTTTCAGGATTATTGCTGCTCAGCCTGGATCAGCATTGCCAATCTCAAATCAGAATGAGTTCCCCATCCATCTAGCCAAACAACAAAGAAATAAAGAAATAGTAAAGGAAGGAAGTTCATTGAGAAGATAGAGCTAGGATTGTAGAAATGTGGTTGAAGAGGTGGCAGAGGCAGACACTGGAGCACCTACAGAGTGCAGAGACACAGTAACAGTACTTAGCCCTGGCTCTTACTTGCTCTGTCTTCACTGTACAAGTGAAGAAAGGAATGTTACTAGATTACTTGAAGCACCTAAGGAATCATTATTGTTAGTTTTTCACCCTTGGTTAAAATAAAACATGACAGAATGCTTAGAGCATGGACACACTAAGGATTCAGAAGGAACAGGTTTCAGCAAAGCTCTTGCCACCAAGTGTGAGATCTGAAACCAGGCACATGTGGCTTGAACTGCCAGCCCTGGTCCCCATGAGATCCTTATGGAAAGCCTTTACTGTTCTCATCCTGTGGTCACCACTGTAAAATGGTAATACTTGGTAATACTGTTTGCCTTAGAAGAGTGTTCAGGGACTTAAATAAGGTACACAAATAATGTGCATAACCACACATGACATAGTAGAATCTCACTGAATGTTAACTGCGATTATGTATAGTCCACAATTCACAGCCTTCCTAGTCACAAGCATTGGAACAACTCATTGTGAATCTTCAAGCCTCAGTTTCTTCCCACATCCAATGCAAATATCCCCCACTTCATAAACACTGAAAAACTGGGTGAAATTAGCAGTCCAAAAACCATTTCATTGTTTTTGCTTGTTTGTTATGAAGTGCCTTTGTTTATCGCTCTCATATTTTGAATACAGGCTGAGAGTGAGGAGTGGAATCAAGAGATCCTGACTTGCTGCTGTGGATTGGTGCCACCAGAGCCCTCCAGTGAAGCAGTGCTGATAGGTGGAGCATGGCTGGGAGACAGGCTGTGACTTGGAAATTTTTGCTCTACATCTTGAGGGGAGGCACCATTAATAGGTTATGCCTTTGTCCTTTGTTCCTGGAGAGGGACTAGATTAGTTAATGCAGAGTAGGTGGTTAAAATATAAAGCTGTCCTTCCTGTTCTGCACTGAGTTAAACAACATGATGCCTTACCAAATGTGTCCATTGATCTTGAACTTCCCAGTAACTGAAAAATCATTTTATTTGTATGTAGTCTATTCCCTGGTGTCCCTGTATATCAAAGAGAATGGACTAAGGCATGCACTGAGCTACGGTCCCCACTACCACTGGGCTGGGAGTGCAGGTATATGTAAGAGTGGGTGGGCCAGCACATCAGCACATTGTGGGAGCTGGGAAACATACTAGAGCATAATAGTACCAAACAAACTTTTTTGTAGCCTCGAATCTGTGTACTGATTGCTGTTCCATGGACACAGTGGAGGACATGTTGAGGCTACTTTTCTGCTGTGATTCCCACATGTACAGCTGCTGACAGGTTGGACAGTTCTCAGGATGGAAGCTGGGAATGCAGAGTACATGAGTTTACACTTACTACGTAACCTGTGCCATAACAATGTAATTATCCATCAGGTTACTCCCACATCTGCCTTGCTCATTGGTGTCTGCATTACACAGCAGGTATGATGCCTACAAGGACACTTGCTAAACAAAGTAGACAATGTTAAGAGCAACTGATCTAAAAAATACATAATTCTTGGTAGTTTAAGAAAGAGGCAGAAGGAGACTAATGGTTAGAAAGCCAAATTGTGTAATTAGCTTTTACTCCCTCTAATCTCTATCTTCTATTTGTGACAATGGTCTGTATATCTAGGAAAGAAAGTCCATTTTTAAAGGAGAATGCACTAGATTACATTAATTTTTTAATTAGTGATGAGGCAGAAATTGTGAAGCAGGTAAACCTGCTGCCTATGATGGCACTGACCTGTTTTTCTACTTCTGAACCAGCTCCCTGCTGATGCATCTGGGAAAGCAGCAGAAGAGAGCTCAAGCACTTGTGGCCCAGAGCCCTGCAGGTAAACACAGAGGAAGTACTTCACCCCTACTTTGACCAGGTCCAGCCCTGGCTATTGCAGCTGTTTGAGGAGTAAACTGATATAAGATCTTATTCTCTGTCTTACCCATTCTGCGGTCTCTTCTCTCTCTCATTCTGTAACTCTAAATAAGAAGCTCTTTTTTAAAAAAGAATTGTAGCAGTTCAAACTTTTAATACAGTCCTTTGATTCACAAACATGTAATCAAACATTATCAAAACCACAGTAATAAAAGAGAAAGATGAAAGTTGAATCATGTGTTTAGTGTTGTTGTACTTTGTTTTCAAAACATGCACTTTCACAAATGTAGAGAAAAAGTAGTCACTTGCTTTCTGCCTACAATACCTTTTTTCTTCCCTCCTGTTACTCCTCTTCTGCCTCCTCTTTCTTTTTCTTCTTTTTCTTGTTCTGATTCTCATCCTCCCCTCCTCCCCATGCACCTCTTCCTCCTCCTCTGCCTCCTTCTTCTTTGCTTTCTCATTGGGTACCCACACATTTTCCTTTCTGATGACACAGTTAGCTAGAAACATAACACACAGCTTCTCACCCCACCTTGAAACCACAGTGGCTTTATCATTTCACGGTAACTGTGGTCTTCCTGTCCTGGGCTGAGTGAAGGACAGCTAGAATGGACACCAGAACACTCTGATTCACTTCACTAGAAAGAATGAATTATTCAATCTCACACCTTCTTGGCTATTTACCTTACTAACCTATTTCAAACTAGATGAATGTAAATTTCCTGGGGTTTATGGTAATAGATAGAAACATCCAGTTTAAGATTTCCTTTTCTTCCAGCCACACCATTTATCCTTATCTTCACAATCATTACTAGTCTGTAGTCTAGTTTTATTATTTATTTGAAAGACAGAGGGAGTCATGTAGCATAGTGGGTTTAGCCACCTCATGAAATGCTAATATACCACATTACATGTGTCTTTTCAGGGCCTTTAGAGGAACAGCCATCCTTGGTTGTGGAACCACTACTATTTAACCAGGTCTCAAGCTCTGTACCTGAATCACATAGGCAGGAATTCTTTTGTCATATAAGGCCACATTCATTCACATGTGTAGAGCTGAGGACTTTGGCATATATTCTGGCAGGACATGATTTAACCCACTGTACTACTCATAAGGACCTCTGAAACTGAGTTCAACAAGCCTTGCAGGTGATTCTGATGGTGAATACAGTTTGACATCCGCTGGCATAGCCCATTTTGTGCCCTTGGACTTTGCATTGACTTGCCTGATAGCGTCATCAGCCACAGCAACCCAGCCAGAAACTCAGTACTCATTAATTACACAGAAGTTATTAAGGCACTTTCCATATTGAACCTTTCCCTCATGGTACTGAGATGGACAATAAATAAAACCAAACGGTGATTAATTCTAGAATGTTACTTCTATGGACATCAAAATTATTGCCTGTGGGTACAGACTAAATGTTGATGTATCCACCCTATAAATGGCTACTTTGAACACTAATCCCCTACAGCATGTAATGTTTTGATGTGAAAATCATGGGTGATTAGGTCAAGAGGCATACATCTCAGGCATCAGAGTAATGTCCTTATAAAAGACTAAGAAACCCCTGTGCTCTGTCCTGCATGAGCAGTCAGCCATGGATAAGCCAGGAAGCAGGCCCTCCACAGACACTGAGCCTGCTGGAACCTCCATCACGGATTTCCCAGGCTCTACAGCTGTGAGAAATATATTCATCCATTCATTCATCAATTACTTATTCTGTGCCTTCTGAGTTAAAGATCTTAATCACATTGCAGGAAAACAAGGATAAAGGTTAAGACTTATAGAAACAGACTGTTGGAAAAGAAAGAAAAAACAAATTAAAGTACATGCAAAAGATGAACAACAGTAAAGAAGAAAGCAAAACACATTTTTATTTGGATATTTCAAAACCATATTTCCATAAATGAGAATCAAATCAAAATTCTAAAGACCATAGAAATCTGAACAAAGCAGACAATTGATAGAGACATAACCCTAGGCAGATGGTGGGACACAAATGGAAGGAGACTCTCAAATCTGAAATTCAGACACAAGTCAGAACACAGAAAGAGCTGCTAGCACTCACTGCTGTTGAAAAGGTTCTGTAATCTGGTGCATTAAATCAACTAAAATGAAATTCTCATTGCTCTGGACACCAGACTTGCAAAACGCAGTTGTTAACAATGGTGCTTCCTTCTGGAGCTCCTGGGGCAGGAAGGCTTTCTCTGTCTGTGTCCTGGCATCCCATGGCTGCCAGCAGTGCTGGGTGTTTCTTGGCTTGTGCATTTTAAACTCCAGCACTTGCCTCTGTCATCACTGGCTCTCTGCTCTGAGTCCCTGTGTGTCTTTGTCCAGACGCTATAGAGGATGATCTTTATTGTATTATTTGGTTTTCACCATTCTCAGCATGGGCTCAAAACCCCAACCTGAATTATAGAGCAAGATTTAAGGGCATCAATTCCAAAGATACTATAATTAAATACATATGTTATTCTGAACACGAAGAGGAAAAAATCTATATAGGATGGGAAAATGGTATGTATCAGGTAAATGCACAAAATTTGAACATGGTTTGTTTACTATATCATAATATTGTATCAATGCTAAATTTCCTGATTTTGATAATTGTATTTGGTCATACAAATAAAAATATTTTCTTGCAAAATATCTAGACAAAGGAATATGATGTCTTCAATTTATTATAACTTAGATCACCAAGGACAGACGCGTGAAAGAAAAAGAGAGTAGAGCAGATAGGACAAAATAAAAACAGTTGACAACCATGGGTAAAAGTTGAGTTGGAATTTCCTGCACTACTCTTTTCAGTGTTCAAAAAATTTTAATTTAGCTTCCATAACAAAATTATTAAAGATGAAGAATACTTGTAATAGTAAAAAAGTAACCATATTCTAATTTTTATTTTTGTTGTCAAGGTCAGATGATGACAACATGTTGAACCCATTGAAGTGGAAAAGATCCAGGCTGTATACCAGCATTGTCCAATTGGTTTCACGGATGACTCAGAGTAATCAAAAGAGAATAATTCCTTGAGACCATGAAGATGGGCAATTCCTTTCCAAAGATATGTTTTGCAAGCTGTCCACAGGAAGAAGATGGTGTCTGGACTCTCAAGTCACAGTCCAAATGAATGTTTTCTTCCTTTTCCAGCTCATTCTGTTTCCACATTGGACTAAGGAATGCAGTAAAAACATGCGTTAGTAACAAACACAAATTATTACTGAACACAAGAATATGTCAGGGATCTGGTTTTACCTTCTAAGTACACCTTGAAGTGGGGGAAATACAATCAATGCTCCTTTCACAGATGCAACTGTAATTTTCAGAACATTCAAAAGCATCTACTCTTATTGAGGATAAAAATGCACATTGTCCTATTGCAGGTGAATTCATTATTGAAAAATTCCTACAGAACAGAAAATATAAAAGTCAATCACTTAATTCTGAATACTTCAAACACATCATTTGTGAACTTTAAAAATTTTATTTTCTAAATTCCTGATATATAGAAATGTTATTCATAACTTCAATACCAACAGATTTTATTCTGTGTTTAGCCCATTAAATACATTCACCCATAATCTCTCAGCTTATTCTACACTGGAAATTGATGGTTAACAGGAAAAACACTTTTCAATAGTACTCTGAAATTGTGGTATGTTAAATCTCCTTTCTTAATCCATATTTTCAATGAAGTAAGAAATTTTCAAAGAGGAAAAACTGAATTACTGTGATACAAATAACCAGGTCTCATGAGCATGTATAGTTTAAGGAGCAACAATATAGTTCATAATTAGAATGATTCATGCCATCGCTGTTTTTATTTGGACCAGAATTATTTTCATATTAATAATAACATAAATATTGAACCTTTTTGGCAAAAAGTAAGTTCATACTCAGGCTGTTTTAATTAGAGTGTTAAATAGAATGGGAATTTAAAAAGATAACTATAGCGCTAAAGCCAATTTGTACTTTGATTGGTGTGTTGAGTTGAATGCATTCTATAGAGAATCTAAATAAACAACGAACTACCTAAATGGTGAAACCCAAAAGTGACCTATCCTCACTCTAGAATTGTTTCAAATCTTAGATTTAAGCAGAAGACAAAAACCATGAAAAATTCCTCATGCAGTTTGCAAGAAGCATATGTACGTTCCAAGTTTATGAGACTTATATTCATCATCCATTGGTGATATCCACCTAAGCATTTGCCCAAAACACACAAATTAAATTACAACCGCTCCTCAGGGCGATCAAAACTCTGCAGCTGTGGCCAGACTTATCTTCCTAACACAAAATGTGTGTGCTGGCTACAAGAACCTTGTATCTAGGCAATTTCCTGCAAGATACCTTTTGTAGGTTCCCAGCCCAGGACCACACCAAAAACAGCTGCAGGAATTAAAGCTCTTACTAGAACTGGCCCAGATTTGGAGCAACAGTCAGCTTGGGTTGGTTGCTTCAACACCATGCAGGAGCACTGGGGCGTGACTCTCAGCTGCACTCCTGAACCTAGATTTCTGCTAACACATATCCTGGGAGACTCAAGTACTTTGGTCCTATTACCCTATGGTGAATACTCAGGTTGAGTACTGGGGTCCTAAATGTAAACCCAGGAGTCTACATAATAAAAAACTATATAAGAGAAGACTACACAAAAAAGGCAAATTTGCCTTGGTGCAAAAGCAGTGTGAAGCCAAGGAATAGATAGATTTTCCATACGACACATGTTCCATGACCTTGTGAAGACATCTCATGTTCATGTATAAGATTACATAGGTGTACAAAGGTACACAGTGTACACATTTATACTCAATCATATAGGAACAAACATAACTATGCACAGACTAATTACACAAAGCAGTTCCACATGAATTTTGGGAGATACATAGGAATCTTATCTATACATGAGAGAGGAATAACTTGCTATGTCAGATGGCACAGTCACTTCATCTCTCAGACTCACGATTGCATTTCAATTTGCATCTCTTACAACACATCCTGAATGTATTTAGTATACCTTTATCATTAATAACTCCATATGACACTTCTCCTTTGTCTGTGCTTCCCAAAATGCTCTTTTACTCTTATTCTTACCAGTGAGGCCTACTCAAAGTTAAGTTAAACTGTGTGATGTGAAAGATGACCCTTCTAGACATAATCCTTCCAACTCCTACACCAAAGTTAATGTTTGAACACACACCAGAAACTTACATTCCAGGTGAGAAACCGTTATCAATCCATTTCCATTTTTTCTCTTTTTTATCATATGACAGTCCAATCCAGTAGTTATTAGTATGAATGTGAGATGTAATGAATGTCTATTAAAAAAAAAAACATATGAGAGAACTAAGTTCCCATCTGTTGCATGAATGTGAAGAGGCACAGGGGGCGGGGACAAGCTGTGCCTAAGACCAGGGCCCTGCCATTCTCCACATCATCTTATCTCTGCTTCTTAGAAATATCTCTTATCCTTCACACATCTATTTTTAACTTCAAAAGTAGCTTTTCTGTCATGTACTTCATATGTGAAAACCATCTGCCAGTCTCCTGGATTATTTAAAACATGCAAGTTTTAAATCTAAATATGTACTAACAACAAATCTCTTTAAGTAATTTAAGACCTTTAAATAAATAATTAAGTTCACAATCCAAAACAATATGCAATGTTATAAAGAATGAATCAATTCACAATTTTAAACAAGGGAGTCTTTAAAATAAATTTTTTAATATAAAAGCTTTGTAAGGGGTACCTAAAGATTTCAGACTCATAAGAAAAATAAACAATGCTTTTAGTTTAGTAGTTGGAAGGGATACAAGGAAGAGAAGCAGTATTTCCAAGTATTAAATATGTCTAAAATGCAATAGGTTAAAGTGGTACATTACATAAATGCTGCTGATTAAAATATAGGTTTGAATTTATGTTTTAGGAAGAAGAAATAAAAAATTTGGAAACAATGATCGCATTCAATTTCCCAACCCTCTATCTTTCCCACCCTGATCAACTATGTAAATAAAATCTAAAGTAAAAATTAAATTTAATAAATACATTTTTGTTTTACCAGATAAAAATTAGTCACTAGTTCAGAAATTATTTCGTGACTTGATATCATGAATTCAACTTCAGGCATTTATTATTTTTGCATATAATTGTAAGTCATTATCTAAATGAAAGAGATTTCAGGTTGATGTTGGCAAACATATTTCTATGGAAACAACTTTGTGTTTTTCTTACTAATACATTAAAAAGGCAACCTCAAGGCCAGCATTATGGTATAATGGGTTAAAACACCAAACTTCAGTGGATGCTGGTATATGTGGTATATGTTCCAGCTGCTTTACTTTGGATCCAGTTTCCTGCTAATGGCCAGGGCAAAGCAGAGGAGGATGGCCCAAGTGTTTGGGTTCCTACCACTGCCATGCGAGACCTAAATGAAGTTCCTACATTCTGACTTCTGTCTGTGCTGCACTGACCTTCACAGCCAAGTGGGAAGGGAATCAACGGATACAAGTCTCTCTCTCACTCTCTCTCACACACACAGATTCTCTTCCTAAATCTTTCTCTCTCATTCTGTGTGCGCATGAGTTCTTTTCTATAACTCTGACTTTCACATGAAGAGGTCTATTTTAAAAGGCACATCTCAATATTGCTGCCTCTATATTTCTGTTTTTACAATTTTTATGGATAGAGATCTTGGTATTATAAAATTATTGAGCAATTCAATGTGATATATAAATGGACTAAAATCACTGCAAGGCTAATTTGTATAAATGATATCACCTTGATACTGCTTATTATCATCACCAGTTGGTAGATGGGCTCAGAGTGGTTAATTAATCCATTGATTATCACCCAGCAGGAACTTGCAGAGCTGGATTTGATTCAAGGAAGTCTGACTGCTGAGTTCCTGGTAGTAACAACTAGACTATGCTGCATCCCCTAGGCTATACTTGCAATCCTACAAGGATAGATGTAGGGACAACAAGGAACAGTATAGCAAAGGCTAAACTAACTGCATCATCAAGAAAGGCATACTTTGCTGAGAAGGTACTTACTTTCTTGTAAGTGTCACTACTGCAGGCTACTGATAAAAAGAGAGGATTAGCCACTACCCCTATATCATTAATAAAGATGACTGTCATAACAAATGATATGCATTGAGCACTTGATGAGAAGCCTAATCATAAACTTATTAGCAAACAAAGTGTTCTGGGAAATTCCTAGCTATATAATCATGACAGTCAGACAACAGACATGACACAAAGAACACTTGAAGACCCCTCTTTCTGCATGCCCCCCTCCTTTCTCAGTATCGCAGGTTGTAAAGTGAGACAGTTCATGACAATGAGAATAAATGGAAGAGTCCACGATACCTGTTCCTGCTCATTGTCTATCTTCAAAAGTGAGGAGCTGTACTTCTGGCAAGTTTGTTTACATTCCTGCCAGTTTTTCTTTTCCTCTGTAAAATAGTAGCAATTGACTCCACCACAGGACCAGTAGCCGTCATAGCTTTTACCTATAACACAGAACCAATTATTAAATTTTTATTATATGATCTTCTAATAATCAGAACAATATATTAATCAGCCCTCCATAATAGACTCAAAGACTCAGGATCTCTCTATGACAATAGCAACAACAATATGGGGATCTCCATGGTTCAGGAATGCTAAGAGATACCTGCACTCCCATGTTCAAGACAGCGTAATCCTCAATAGCCAAGAGATGGAGACTACCTAGACATCCACTGATGGATGAATGATGTGGAACGTACATACATACAATGGAATTAATAATATTGAATCTTATAGAGTAAACAGTGACAGTTGGGCAAAACATTAAGGACATTATGTTTGAGAAATAAACGCTAGGGGAATGATGTATAACATAATACTTCTGATTAACAATGTTGTACACTCAACATGTAAGACAGCTGATGTCATGGTAACTGTTCTTATCAAAAATAAATATAGAAGTAAGCAAAGGAAATTTTGGGAGTTGATGTCTATGTCAATTATTCCTATTATGATCATGCTATCATGCAATGCTTATGTCCAACTTATCAAACTACATATATTTCTATCATTCTCTATAATGGACCTATGTAAAATACTAGCATGTTTTCTAACTTGGGAATATAGTTGCAAACTTTTTTTTCCTTTTGCATATTTACATTTATAACATTACAATGTAACATTGCAATATACAATATATACAATATATTGCAGAAAGTATATATGAGTGCATTTCAAAAAGTTCATTGAAAATGGAAGTAAGACACAAGCTTGTTTTGGGTACAAAACTTTTTGAGACTTAATCTGCATTTTCTATGAATTTTTAAAAATTATCCTGGTATTGGTGTTCATAAATACCCACACACGAGGTCTAGATACACACACAAACACACACACACACACATACACACTCTCTCTCACCCATACGCACAAGGTATCTTTATAACTGTGGGGAGCGGAGTGCTACAGCCGCTCCTGGAATTGGAAGGGGCTGTTGCAAGATGGTGGCTCCCCCAGGGCCAGCAGGTGGAGTTGGTCTCACCAGCAGGTAAACAGGAAGTCACAGGGATAGGCTAATACCCTCGCTGTGATTATGTCATTGCAACTGTCCTATCACGTAGCGGCAAGTTGACCCACGGGGGGGAAGTGATCGGTGGAGAATGATATAAAAGTAGCCAGAAAAAGCAAGGAAGTCAATGAAGAAGAGACATGGAGGAGAACAAGGGCTGGGATGAGAAGAATAGGGCAGGGGAAGATGGACGGGGAAAGGAACAAGGGACAGAGCAGAGGAGAGAGGGCTGGAGAAGCAGCAGAGAGGGATAAAGCGGTACAGAAGCAGGAAGACCTAAGTAAGGGGACAAGAACAGAGAATGCAGCAAAAAAGTAAGGGAAGAAGGGTGGTGGAGAGAGGGCTGGAGACCCGGGGAGGAAAGCTAACACCAATGGGACAGGAGCAGTGGAGAGAAGCATTTAAACTTAGCCACTTTTGGCAATAAGGGGTCCAGTTGAAGTTCTGGCTTTTCCCAGACCCTCAGAGTGTGCCTCGTCGGTGGTGTCGCTGCTGGGTAGCAACATATAACAACATTCAAATGAAACTCCTTGTGTCTTTTGTAGGTCAGTTATGCTTTTTTCTTAAAGCTTTCATATTTTGTGTGAGCCACACCCTAATCCTCACTAGACCAAATCATCTGACTATTCTGGCATACTAATCTTCTCTTTCACTCTTGGTAGTAACAGGGCAGCAAGATTTGCCATTGTATTTTGGGAGTGACAAGACTCTACTAATCCAAATATGATTCCAAGGATTCCCAAATACCATATTTGAAACAAAAAAACCAAACCATCCACATTTCATCTGAAAGACACAAATTGAAAGTTGTCCCGTAGACCCAAGTCACTGGGGCAAGCCTGCTTATAAGACTCCAAAGCTTTTAGAAGGGGAATGCAAAGCAATACAAACTTTCACTCCACATTCCTTCCATACCTGGATTTGTACAACATTCAATCTTTTTTGAAAAGAATGACTCCGGTGTCTTTTGCTGTAGAAGGGTTCGATGTCTGAGAACATCACATTCTAAAGTCTTGTTTGCCAGAAGTTGCTCATTCAAGTACTCACTCTGATTGAGATTTGCTGAAATTTCTTGTTGTTGATGTTTTTCCTGAATTAACTGGAAAACTAATATTTGAGACATAAATATCATAAGAAAATGCACTCATGGAGATCAAACAGTGAAATTAAAGACTTTAGAAAAAGTCTCACTTCAACAACCAACTGTACTCATTAGTTCAGTAATTTGGCATTAGAAAGTCAAACCTCGATGAACTGACCACAGTGATGGAAACATCACATTTCTCACTATTAGTAACTCAAGCAAAAGAAGCAAAATACCCAAATGAGATTATGATGCTAACACCATAGCTTACACGCTGGTTTATTTTTAGCCGTATTTCACTTGCAAATACCTAGCAACTTAAAATTCAGTTAGTTAACATTTACCAATTCATCATCTGTAGATAAAGACCTAAACTAGGGGGCAGATGCTTGTCCTTGGGGTTAGGATGCCCATAACTCACATCAGAGTCCCTGGATTCAATCCTGGCTCCTGACTCCAATTCCTGGGAGCTGATGGGCATCTGTGATGACTCAGTGAGTTAGTGCCATCCACATGGAGCACCAGAATTAACAGTTCCAAACTTCCAACTTCAGCTGCAGTCATTTAAGGAGTGAACCAACAAATCAAACTTGATTGTTTTTTTCTCTGTCTTTTCTTTACTCTCTCTTTCCTTCTTAATCTTTCTTTTTACCTTTCTCTTCTTTCTTTCTTTTCATTTCTTTCCTTTCTTCATTCATTTTTTCTTTCACTCTTTCTTTCTTCCTTTCTTTCATTCTCCCTTTCTCTTTCTTTCACTTTCTTTTAGATTTTTCTCTCAGTTTCTTTCTTGTTTCTTTCTCCATCATTTCTCCCTCTGAATATATATCTCGGTTTCCCTTTTGTTCTTTCTCCCTATCCTTCTTCCTTCTTTTTTTCTCTATCTTTTCCATCTTTCTTTTTTTTCCTTCCTTCTATCTTTAATCCTTTCCTTTTTCTATTTCTCTTTCTCTATCCAAAATTAAAAACAAAAAAAAAAAAAGAAAACCTACCAGACCTAAACAACCTTGAAGATAAAGCACAATTATTATTGGAATAGCTATAACATCTGAAAATAGGTGATGGTATCTAAATGTGGTATGTCCATTGTGTTCTATAAATATTTGAGGCAATACAAATACAAGATAAAGCTTAAATTTAATATCACTTTGTATGTACATTTTTATTCTTCTAATTATTTTCTTATTGTGTATTTAAAAATGAATTTAGAAAAGAATAACAAAGAATGTTTATATCAGACTCACAATAATCTAAACTGAGATGGCAGAATATCACAAAATTATCAACCAAAAGGAAAATTACCGTGTACTATACAGAGTAAGTTAGCTTCAGAATAATATAGAATAATTGCAGCATCAGAATCAGTAGACTATGTAAATATAATGAAATACCAGTGTGATATGTCCAAGAAAAACAATCACCAACAAGGGCCATTATCTTGGCTTAGCATGTAAAGCCACTGCCTGCAGGGCCAGGATTCCATAGAAGCAATGGCTTGCATCCCTACTCACCTCCTCCTATACAGCTCCTTACTAATATGCCTAGGAAAAGCAGTGGAGGATGGTTCAAGTGCTTGGGCCGTTGCACCCTTGTTGGAGACCTGGAAGAAGCCCTGGTTGCCAACTTGGATTGGCCCAGCTTCTAATGTGGCTGCCACTTGGCATCTGAACAGATGAAATGGATGAAAGATTTCTCTTTTCTCTCTCTCTCTTCCTCTCTCTTTCTCACGTGTGTGTGTGTGAGAGAGAGAGAGAGAGAATTTGCATTTCAAGTAAAATTGAATTATGCAAAATCATTTTCTTAACCACCGATCAAGTTCAGACTTCTCAAATGTTTTAGCAGGATCATTGTTAAAACATCTGCACAAGTGATTCTCCAAAGCCTAGAAAGATCAGTTTCCATTACTCACTCATTGTCACCAACATTGTGATCGTCATCAAGAGAAGTAAAGACAGGATTCCAAGACTCACTGCAATGCGATGCCAGGGCACTGCAAACTCTTTGAAGAGAAAACTAAGAATTAGCAGTGAAAGGCCCAGCTATCTCTCACCTTAACCAGGGACATGGTTAAAAACAAATAAAACTCTGTCACAAAGTTTACAAGACTATACCATACAAAATGATTTAGATTTTTAATCTGGAAACTGCAGCTTTACATTTTATGTTTTCTGGCTGATAGAAACTGTTTCTAGAAATGGCGATGAACAAGATGGTTCAGGCGATGTTCTTGACAAAGTGGTTGCCACCAGAGAATATTCTGATTTGCAGACATGATCAGCGTCCATCCTAACAGAACTTTCCTGAAATCCACTTTCCTTTCCTCACTGTCAATTCTGCATTTCTGTAGGTAACGGTGTATACATCTTCTTGTTTTTATAGTCCTCATTGTCCGAAAAATTCTATGATGATCACTAAACTGAAACACTACTGGTTATTCTCAATTAGGAGTTTAATTATGATCAGAAAAATAAAAATTATCCCTTGATGCAAATGTTTTTAAATCAAGATGGCCCTTAAGTTCATATATGTGTGTTGGTGTCGCTAACATCTCTTTTGTTTGTATAATAACCTTGTTTCAAGGCAGATTTTTATATTAAACATCTAATACATTTGTTTTTCTAAGAAATGCTAGGGTGTTTTTTTCAAATCTTATTCTGCTCTTTGCTTTTAGACACCTCACACTCTATCCTTGGCCAGATTTAAATAAGCATATTCTATTATTGACTCAAATTTCTTAAACTGTATTAATTTCTTCACCCTCTCAATTTCTTATTAAAAGTAATTCTTCCAGGATAGCCAGTTCGAGTTTTTCAACTGGAAAATAACGGCCAGAAGTGCATGTAAGATTGCTTTAAACCTCTAGTTTATCAATCCATGACATCCCATGAATTTGAATGTTCAAATAGTATAACTTGAGTTTGACATTATGATACAGGAGGGGTTAAGCTATCGCTGACAACACCAACACCTCATTTTGCTCTGGTTCAACTCTGCTACTCCAATTCCAACTGAGCTCCTGGCTAATGAACTTAGGGAAGCAGAAGATGGCCCAGATACTTGAATGCCTTCTATGTGGGGGACCGAGGTGTTCGCCAACCCTCTAGCTTGACCAGATTCTAGCAGCTGCAGCCATTTGGAGAGTATCTACTCAGTGAAAGATCACTTTCTGGTTTTCTCCCTCTCTCTCTGTAATTCTACCTTTCAAATAAAATAAATAAAGCTCAAACATATGTATAAATACCTTTCTTGGCAGATTTCCCAGGCCTTCTGGTGCCATCAGGCCTTAATCTCTTCTGAGATTTTGAAGCAGACTGGAGAACTTTCACAGTTGAATAAGTCACCACCTGCTCCTGATCACCCATCTTCAGAAGAAAAGAAATGTTTGTGCAACAACTCTTCACATATAATGATTTCTAAAGAAATATCCAAAGAGCAGCCCACAGGAACATACCAGGACTTGATGCTGAGAGGTCATTTTGTGTGTGTGTCTGTGAATATCTGTGTACCTGTGTTTATCTGTTCCAGTAAGTGCTTAAAGCATGTAGACTGAATTAATTTATACAACAAATGGAAATCCTATTAATATATCCATACAAATCCTTTATCATCCTAGTGATTTTTCCATAATTATCAGAATGTATGGAAAGATTTGAAGAGACTGCTAGTATATTATTATACTATTTACTCAGCTATCTTCACTTACAAAGTTTAGCATGCATATAAAAAGATTGGGTACAAATCTGTGCCGTCTCATATCTTGGTGGCATCCTTTAGAGATAAATTGAAACAACAAAAAATTCTATATTCTGTAAAACTATACATGTCTTAGTTTTTAAAAATACATATATTTCTAGGCACATAACTGTTTTTAAAAGCGCTTTCTTTTCAATTATCATGAGTCAATCAGAGAGCTTTCTGCAATATATCTCATACATTATCTGTACATGATTTTGAGGGGTGATTATTAAAAAATTAACATGTGCAGTGTCTTATGCAAGACAAAAGTAAAAATATTACAGATTCCCCTTTCCAAAAGTGCCATAGAAACCTTGGTGAAAAAAATATGTCAATAGCTATTCATCAATTAATTAATGCCCATCAGGAAACAACCTAGTAATTAATACCAATGAAGTAAGAAATCATAAATAGCAAAATTTAAAATTCACCTTGATTCCTACACTAATCAGAAAGAAAAGATGATATCAAAGGAAATTCAGGAAAAAGTGTAAGTATAATCTCTTATATGCATCATCAATTTACAAAATTTTGTATGCTGGACTATTCACATTGTGTTTAACATCCTATTAAAAGTAGACTTTTTGAATCCATAATTTTTTATCGAAACCTTTATGGATAGATAATACATAAATCATTTGCGTCAAATTAAAAGTAACTCCTCAAATCTGTCTTCTTTAAGTGGTTAACTCAGAGCATATGGAGAGGGAGACAACAAGTTTCCATGAACACTAACTACAATTTATACATCCTTCAAGGTTCACGCTATTGTAATACAACACAGAGGGAATTCTGTCCTATAAATGTCATGCCACGATACTTGGAATTAAGCACTATATTCCTAGAATAAGTAGAATTAATAGGATAATCATATTGAAAGACCACGGGAATCAAAGCAGGTGTTACCTGGATCTATGCCGTGTAATGAAGCAGGTGGAAGCACTGGACCCCACTAGAACAAGACGCAGGCCACTCCAGTCCCACAGCTCTTGCGGGGCTCTGAGAGGAGAAGTGAGGTGTCTGAAGGATGAAACTCCAACTCAAACGTCCTGCCCCTCTTGTTGAAACAGTGGTGAAAGGAAACCATATGCTGAAAGCTGTTGTTTACAGGAAAGGGAGGATGGTCATGAGCTGTGTGTGCCTCCATTTCAATAACCAATCACTTCGTCCTGCTTGCAAAGCAGCATCGAAAATCAGAATTTGCGGACTGAAGAGAGAGCAATTAAGGTTCATGAAAACAGGATGAATATCTTTTAACACAAGATTAACATGCATAAAAGAAACCGTTTTTCAGTGGATGCATAAAATATCTACATGTGCATACACATATACAAATAGGGTCACAATTCGATACCTTAGCACACTTTTAAAACATTTTCCTTTCCTTGGGAAACATTGTTTAAATATTTTTCTCTTTTTTGGACTCATGCTTACTGTACATAAATGTGTTTCAGAAGGATTTTTAAAAATATATCCATAATTCCAAGATAAAAATTCAGTTTATATTCCTCTAGTTTTCTGTTCACACACAATGCTTACCAGTGAAGTTGGTATCCTTATGCAATGCGTCTGACTTATTCTTTTATAATTTATTCTTTTATACTGACATGTCTTTCCTTTAAGCAGAATGTCTTCACTTTAAGCAGTAATAATTTTTATGTGATTGAAAGGCAGAACAACACTGAAACAGACAGAAAGTGGATAAATTTTGCACTTGCTGATTCAGTCTTCATACGCCCATAGTAGTTTTAGTGGTGCTAGGTAGAACCCACTGTACCTTTGCCTACTGTACCACAATGTCCGTACTTAAAACAGGATGCAATAATATATATACAGTTACTGTCCACATAAGCATTACTCCTTAACTTAAGGTTTGATCCTTCCCCTGCAATTGGACACCTAATTTTTTTTCCAGCCTTTTGCTAATGTTAAAGAATCTTTGACCTTTGCTTTTCAGTGTTTTCTTAGGACATCATTTTAAACGTAGAATTACAAGGTTAAAGGGTATTACACATGTAAAGATTGATGATACAGATTACTAAATAACCTTCAGAGAAGTTGCTCCCCACCACGTTATACCAGTGGTGAATGAAAATATTCACATTTGGTCCTGGCGCGGTGGCCTAGCGGTTAAAGTCCTTGCCTTGAACACGCCGGTTCTCATGTGGGCACCGGTTCTAATCCTGGCAGCTCCACTTCCCATCAAGCTCCCTGCTTGAGGCCTGGGAAAGCACTCGAGGGATAGCTGAGGCCTGGGTGTTTGCCATATGACCTTCTGCTTTTTCAAGCACACTAGCAGGGAGTTAGAGGACAAATACAGTGCTGGCATCTCAGATGGCGACTTAAGAATATTCTACTTGAGTGTTTCACATGGCTTAATTCTATTACTGTTCTCTGACACTTTCTGCAAGTTCTCACGTTTTTTGTTTTTTGTTTTTCTTTTTTTTTTTTTTTTGGCTTTTGAAATCATTGGTTCTTATTTGTGGAGCTATCAGTTATGTAAGATTTTTGACTATCAGATTTTTACTTATGATCTCAGGCTCATTTTTTTCTTAATTTTCAAAAAAGGATTAAAGCTAAAGAGAATAGATTTCCTGTATTGCATAGGTACACTTCTAAGGAGATAGCTATGCTTCCTTCCCTCCTGTTTCCCTCTGTCAATTCACTTTTTTTCTATTTTTTTCTTTAAATTTATTTGATGATGTGTATGATGGCTGCCACAGCTGGATTTACTTCAATCTGACCTCAGCCCAAGACCAGAAAAGGCCACAGAGCCAAACATGTCACTGGGCCAGCAAGATTCCAGCCAAGCATCGATAAATCTAGACTGACACTCCTTACCCTAATTAGGATCTAGGCAGAGCCTCTGCCAGCCTCCAAGTTGGAAGGGGTAAAAGCCTCCCACAAGTTCCCCTGCCTGCCTTTTCTCCCCACCCCTCTCTCCTTCTTCCCTCCTTAACGAGTGATTCTCAGTTAAAGCCTCTTTGCATCTTTGTTACAACTGGCAGGTTTTGGAAGGGTGCAGGGAATGGGGAAAGTGGATGAGACCACGGTTTCCACATTTTTTTGTCTTCTTCCTGTGTCCTGGGGAAGGCAGGAAGATAAGTGGAGAAGGTGCACCCAGCCTCCCAACTGCCTTAGAATCGGGGATGGGAAATGGCCACACAATGTCATCATCCCAGGGTCCCAGTGTAGCGCATACTCTGAGCTTTCTGCTCAGGTTGTATCAGTCATTCTGAAATGCTGTCAATCTCACCACTCCAAGGAGAAGGAAATCCTTCCAAGGTTCATTGACTGACAAGGTTTACCTTAGTCTCCATTCGCCCAGATATTTGCTGCCAATGCTTGATTGTTGTAGTTGATCAATTTGTTCTGCCCTCCACCCTCTGCTAGGGCATCACATGTCTTCTGTCGGCCCCAGTGGACTGTCATATAACCCATGTGAGTCTGGGTATGCCGTCTACTGCTCCGTCTTAGCCACTGAGGAGACCCAGTTCTGAAACATGAACTCTATAATCAGACCACAGATCCTGAAATTCTCGCCATAGTTGGAATTCTGAGACCAATGGTTCAGTTGGAGGAGTCCCCCAGAAGTACCTCATCTGAAATGATCTCAAACCTGACTGTTATATCTTCTTACCAGTACCTGTTCGGGCTCTGTCTGTCACCAACATCAGCCTACACAAACACATTACTAGTTTCAATTGCTTGATCAGTTCTGTCTCCAACCACATCATCTATGCAAACCAGTGAGTGCAACAACCCAGGCTGACCCTTACTACCACACAATTGGCCCTCTCAGACACCAGTGGAAACTACAATCTAGTCAGAGTGACCACCACAAGCACCCATATAGTCCGCCTCCAGCCCTGGTTCTGTGTTTGCCAGTATGTGCAACATACTGGTCTAGTCTGTCCCATATCCCATGCATCAATGGGCACTGAAGCCTATCTCAACCCAACCAACCCACTATCCAGCCCACACTGTGCCAGCAGGTGCCACCATCTATCTAGCCAGGCCTGCCGCCTGCTCTGTTTCTCATGCTCACCAGTGAGAGTTGCAACCCATCAGAGTGGTACCTGCAGTTTTATTTACCACTCCCAGATCTTGTACTCTCCAGGTGATTCTGCAGTCTAGCTTGGCAGGAGTTTTCCCTTAGTTCCAGCACTTGCCAGCTGATTCTATGACAAAGCCCAACCAGCCCACACCCACTCTGGCTCATGCATGCACCAATGTGTAAAATCAGATAGTCCAGCCTGGCTAACCTAGCTCACATGCAAACCAGCAAGTATCGCAGCTCTGCCAGGCCTGTTCTGCCCCTGATCCCAGCTCTCATGGTCACCAGTGGGAACAGTGGCCCAGCAGGTGAGCTGCCCCACTGTTCCCGCATCAGGCTCACCCCAACCCTTCCTGCCGTCCCCAGTATCACGTGTGCTGGTAGGTGTTACGACCCAATCTGGCATGGCCCGTCTCATCTCGGCATTTGCTGGCGGGTGCTGTAACTAGTCCAGCCCAGCATATTCCCAGTTCTAGCTCATGCTGGTAGGTACTACAGCCTAGCCCAGCCCAGCCAGTTTCCAGTCCTGGTGCTAATGTTAACTGGCTGATGTTGTGGCCTGACGCATCC